CACACACGCAGAGTTAGCCTTAGGACCATGGTCTAACCCGTGGGCTTTTGTTGAAGGGGTGTTTATGAATATTTACAGTTTAACACTGCACACCCACCTAAAAGCACTCCGGCCCCTGAGCGAAGCTGGAGGTAAGTCAAAGAGAAAAGCGCTGACTTGTCTACAGGGACTAAAGTTATTTCCCCCCACTAAAAAGCCAAAATACATTTACTCAGTTGGCTTAACTTTGAGTTTTCCATTCAGCCAACACATTCTTTGCTGTAGATGATGTGTAAATTACCTGAGTGGATGTTCAATCACTTAGCTAATATAAAGCATAAAATAAAGACAGTGTGGCTTCTTCCTTTTGAGAAATGGTCAGTCTTGACGTTTTTTTTTTTAAATCGTAGCCAGCATTATTCAGCATTATTTGAAGTCGTGTTATTTTCTTGGCAGTGTAGTTTTATACTTTTAGTTGAAGGATGTGAAAAATAATGTAAGAAGAGTAAAAGGCATCTTTTTCTTAAGTTGAGAGAGGTACCGTAGCTTACACAAATGTTCTAAGGATACAGGTAGTAACAGCAGATGCAGCAGTACAGTTTTTGCTTATTTAGATACCACAAATAAATGAAGATTACAATATTTTTTTAAATCAGAAATTGGCATGTCCTGTGTTTTTAGATATTTTAAATCGCTTTATCCATTCATTGTTTGTCCATATTTTTGTGTCTGAATCAGCTTCCTCTTCTCCATTTGCTTTGCTCTCATTGCATTAACACACACATACACACACCTACACACTCTTCTGACTGTTAGGTTGGCTGACAGGGTCATAATTGGGCTTGTCACTTGGGGAGTGTGTGTGTGTGTGTGCGCGAGCGCCGTGTCATTGCAATGCGGGACCTGCCCCTGTCAAAGACAAGGTCAGGGGATAATTTAATCATTAAAGACCTCTTCTTCTCTCATCTCCCCCTCTCTCCTCCTTTCCACCAACTAGCTGACAACGCCAGAAATGTCACACATTGTCATCATTTAGCCTGCGCGNNNNTTTAGCCTGCGCGTGTGTGTGTGTGTGTGCGCGAGTATGTGTGTTTTGTGGTTTCCCAGGCTTTTGTGCTGCCGTCTCTCCTCTCTTGTACTATGGGATTAAGAGTGTCAAACTGGAAAATCTGTCGCTCTGTCTTGCTGTCTTGCCATATTGTATTGTACTACACTGTCAATTCGGTAGCTATGGCAACATGACACAGTCAGTATTATAGTTACTTGAATCAAACCCCATTTGCTGTTAATTAATCTAAACTAATTAATCTTTTTTTGTTTCATATTTGAAAACTAATGCTGTGTGTAGGGGAAAAATGGGAAATGTTTTTTTTTTATAGATACATTTTTTTTTGATCATATGTCTACCTGATGCTTTTATCTACTGCCACTTGCAGACCAAGCAATTAACAATAGAGAGAGCATAGTTTAGAGACATTTTGCAATAATTTAATATGACAACTTTCAACTGAGAGAAATTAGCAAGGATAAGAGAGAGAACCAGATCAAAGTAGAGTTTGTATGGTAGGTGTAGGGGTGGAGGTGCTTCTTCAAGAGATGCACATTAACCCTGACATGTTGGGAGTCTTGTTGACCCACTGGTGGTGCGTTTCGACTGGGTGCTCATGTCTTGTCCTCTACTGCCCCCTGCAGGTTTCAGGACATTGAGAGCATGGTGAAGGTAAGACCTGAATCTGCCCACACTGTTTAAGTGCCTGCATATAAATGTGTATACCAGTACAGATAAACAGGTTTTTGGTTTTTAAATAAAGTTTAGTAGGTGAAAATGATACAGACAACACTGTAGATTATTTAAATTAATACAAAACTAAACTAAGCTGTCTTTATGACCGCTTCTTCCTTGCAACATAAAAGCTATGATGACTAATTTACTCACCATCTGCTACATACAGAGTTACATTTAGGAAGAACATACAACATGATAAATGCCATCTGCTGCCTTTTATGTAAATCTCCTTATGGCACACTGAATGTATAAATACAGAAAAGTTTAGGCTGGATATTCAGCTTCAGGCAATGTTTGGCAAGATGGTTTGCAAAAATAAAAACAGTTTATTCACACACATAAAAATCTTTACAATTTTTAAACTACTACAAAATGTTGTACTGTGTAGGATAAAATCTGTGTGTGTGTGTTTGTATTTTATTTATTTAAATGTTTTAACAGATTACTGCGCTCTTGTACAACGACAAACGCTTCCAGAAAAAGAGCCCCAAAACTACTGGTAAGGAAACATTTACACACATTCATGTTACTGGCAAGGTAGGACATATCTGACAGTGTCTGTGTGTGTCCGTCTGTGTGTGTCCATGTCCATGTCCATGTCCGTGTTTGTGTAGGTGAGAAAGCGAGAGAAGGGAGAACGCCTCTGTGTGTGTATCATCTAGCACATATCAGTATTCAAACTTGCAGACTGCAGTCTCAGTCACCTTCCAACTACAACTAATTCAGATGACAGAAAAATGCCCACTGTGTAAGTGTGTTTGTGTGTGTGTTTGCATTCAGTCTCAGTAGCAGAATACTGCTGACCGGCCCATTTCTCGTCATGAAGCCCCTGTCCAGGTGTGTGTGTGTGTCGGTGTGTGAGAGAAAGACCTGCTCTCCCTGTTGGAGGAAATAGAGCCTGGCTGCTGACACAGCGCTGAGTGGTTCAAAGTGTATATTTGTGTGTGTGTGGAGCGTTAATGTCGCTCCTTGTCAGTGTGTGTGTCACGGAGAGTCCCCAGCGCTGCAACTGTTGTGTGTGCTGGTGGGAGCGATGGAGACTGTTATCCATGTCACATCCCATTAGACAACATCTGCGTGTGCGTGTGTGTGTGTGTGTGAGAGAGAGAGTGTAGAGAGAGAGAGTTGAAGTAGGGGAAAGCTGTCAGTGCCAACCATCGCACATTCACTCACACTGCAGCTCAAAAGCAGCCTCTGTCAGCAGAAAAGAAACACAAACACACACTCTGCAAAGGTTACAGAAAAATAGTATAAATGCATAAATGGATGCAGTGACTGACACGGTGGCAAATTAAATGTAATCCCAAGACAACTGTGTTTGTGTGTTTCCGTCCCATCCAGAAGAGGGATCCTTCTTTTTGTACAGTCTGATCGACAGCATGTCAGAGAGGGAGGTGCATGCAAAGGAAGAGCAACTGAAGACGTACTTCAATCAACTACAATCTGAGGTACACGCACAAACACACGCACACAATGATGTTACTGAAAACAAATACACACACACCACACACTCACATACTAATATAATGTATATCCAGTTCATTCATAGCCATCCCACTTTGAAAGAGCTTACACACTCTGATCTGAGATGATTTGCAGTGTGTAATCAGACTTGGATTATTTACGAAATACACAGGCACACACACAACCTCCTCCTGTGCTCCATTTCTAAAGAGTGACGGTCGTCACTCGGTTTGAGTTGGGACATCCAGACATGTTGTGGAAGATTAAATCATGCTTTACACTTTTTGGTTAAAGGTTATGTTAGGTGACAGCTTTTCAATGAAGTTATGTCTGATTTAAATATATTCATAACCCAATTAATGTTATTAAAAACGACAAGATTAGTTTTCTACTTTGTGCTCCTTATGTTCATCTACTCTTCAAATTTAACTCTCAAACTTTTTTTAACTCACAAAATTCAACAATTCAGCTTCTGTGGGCTAAGAGCCGATCAGCACTTTAATGATGTTGATTTCCTTCCTTTGTTTCTCTGCAGAACATCACCATTCCAAAAAACATCTACAGAGGCATCAAGAACCTTCTGGAGTCCTACCACATCCCAGAGCTCATCAAGGTACAGAGCCTGTTGGATATAGCTCAGACTGTTTTATCATGAACTTTTAGTCACAAAAGCATCAATAGAATACACAAAACTCAGTAGTCAATGGCAAAATATGTCCACATTGAGGATGTATTTGTATTAATTATGTTTTCTGGACTGTTAGTTTCTCCAATGATGTAGATTTTAAATGTCAAATGTTAACTGTGTGTGTCTGTCAGGATGTGGCTCCTTTGCAGAGCAGAGAAGCAGGATTCCGTACGACAGTAAGTAGGACAGTGTGAATGGGACTGATGTGATGCAACATAATTCATTTTCAACTCTTATGTATACCTGCTGGGACAGTTTGTTTTGTTTGAGGAAAAAAAAGAAAGAAAGAATTAATAGATCACCACCCAAATTACCCAAGTTTAATTTTGTAAGAATATATTTTTCATTTGTGGGTACTTTAAACTGAATTCTGTGGAGATGAGTGTGTATTAGTACAGGCTCATGTACACATGCGGTTGTGTATTTGGTCATGTACATGTGTTTAAAACCTCTGTCTCCATCAGGATAATTATGGAAGGATGCGGTCACTTAAGACCAAAATGTCCGAACTGAAAGCTGCGAACCAACCACTTGACGGTGTTCTCAAACAAATGATCCAGGCTTGCATTGAGGACGAGGTAGGATTTGTTTGAATAACTCACAAAACCCTCTTCTTTTTTTTTCTTGAAGTCAGTTGTGTTTAGTCCTGAGATGTGTCGTTTCGTTGTCTGATCAGAAACCGCAGGCCGCCCTAAACCTGATGCAGGAGCACGAGAACGAGATCACAACCAGCATCTACATCACCCTAATCAGAATGTGCTGTCGGCACAACTATGTGAATCAGGCGCTCAAACTGAAGAAGGAAATGTGAGTGAAGCAGGATACACGCACACACAATGCAGCGCTTCGACCAGTAGTGGGCCATTAAAGTTTAACTTGAGTGGTATTAGGGGAGACATTAATGCAGGGTCCAGCCGCTCTATTGACGGGATAAAACACAGGAAACTCTCCCCTCTTCCTCCCTTGTTTACTTCTCTTCACTCACCTCCTGGTTCCAGCATCGGACTGAACTCCGACAGGAGAACTTACAATAGATGGGTTGCATTATTGTAAGTGGAATACATTAATATAGTGTCTCACCCTCTCTGTCTCTGTCTTTAGGAGTCTTAAGGACCCAACAGTAACGCTGGATGTCAATAGATACCTCGAACTGGTCAGGCTCCTCTCCAGGAATGGCAGGGTGGAGGGTAAGTTCCTCTGAGGCTGCAATTAATGATTATTTTTTACATCAGGTAAAGAGTAAAAGATGCACATCACAACTTGTCTGAGCTGAGGTAACCTCCTTCTTCAGCCTGCTTGTTTTGTCCAAACGTATTAAAAACCAAAAGATATTCATTTCATTTCATTCATTTTTGCTTGAAGGATTTAAAATACTTATGCATTTATCAGAATCGCTCTTAATTTTGTGTCTATTGACTAATTGGTTTTATTGACTAATCCCACAAGCTCTTAGTTCCTACTTTTTCTCTGACAGTAAGTCGGATCAAAGTAGATCAGGCTTGAACTTAAAAAAGGCCTGCAGATGTGAATGTGTGTGGTTGAGCGTTTGTGTGGGTGTGTGGGTGTGTGTGGTTGAGTGTGTGTGTGTGTGTGCGTGTGCGCGCGTGTGTAGCCTCTGAAGCCTTTGAGGAATATGTCACCAAACCAAGAGACACTCTATGAAATGTCCACTCCCTTGCAGCCACAACCTTGTTGCTGGGTCACAGCGGTTTGACCTCCTCGTCAGTCGACTTTACGGACTCTGATACTGGACTTTTAGGAGTTTCAGGATGATTGTGACAAAAAGGTGAAAGAAAGACAGAAAGTAAAAAAGAAAGGAGGTGAAATAATAAAAAAAAAATGCTATATGCTGTAGTCTGTGCATGTGCTGCCAAACTATAAAGCTGCAACCAGGAGCACAATTTTCATGTTACACTCAAGTATATCAAGTATTACTAATGTTGTGTCAAAAACAAGTGATGTTCAATGAAACTCTCTCACCCAACTAACAGAAAACGACGATGAAGCGCCAACAGACTTGAGGAGATGAAAACACAGGGGGAACATTAGCTCACATCCTGGTGCCAGTTGGTTAAAAAAAAAAAAAATCATTATTGTACTGAAAACAGTGTATAATTTAAGATATATTGAAATACCTAACTAATCAAAGAAGTCAAATATTATGGAATACCGTATGTATTGTCTATAGTGTGTTGTTGTAGTCTTAAAAGCATAAAGATTTTTGTAAGAAAAGGACAAAATGCAAAAACAGCAGGTTAATAAATGGCAAAGTCTTGAGGCAAAGCTGCTCAAAGTGGTGACACTTTAGTGGATTGGTGGTTTACTTCCTGTGCTGTCCGACAGTCCCTGTATGATACACCGAGCTCTGTCCTACTGTGGTGTCAACTTTTTTTTGAAGAGGAGAGCAAAAAAAGCCTGAGCTGCACACGAAGCACTCCCTTTATCTGCACAACTCATGCATACAGAAAGAGGAATAAAGTTTACACACAGTGTTGTTTGTGCATTTGTTTTTACCATCAAGAGAAAGATTTACAAGCTCTTTTTGTTGATGGTGGAGAGTTTTATGGCTGTGAACATGGTTTATGTTACTGCACCCTTATTTACATCACTTGCTGGACCCAGACTGACATTTTGGTAACCAAGCACCCAAGACCTGATGGATGGTTTCTGTGAGAGCAGCAGCCTCTTTGTTTGGAGAGGGTGTGGTTAGGGGTTGTTTGGACCGATAACTGCCTGCTGCTGGGGAAGTGCGTAAGGGTTTGGTCGTAAAAGATTAAATAATAGGGGAATCCTGTTTTATTCTTCCCGGCGGAGCTGTATTCATATGGTAATGGAGACAGAGAGGCTGCGCCCCGCCCTTCTTCTTCTGTGGAACAAGAGTGGCCGGTCTGCTGTCACCCTGCAGTCATACAAGCACCCAGAGTGTCACCCACTGGACTCTGTCAAACAACCGGCTCGGTGGTGGATCAGGAGAAACTGCCAAGTTCAGCGCAGCAGCAGGATACGGACACAACTCTCTTTCTGTCCGCCCCTCCCAGCTTCCGGGTTGTTTTTTTTATTTTATTTTTTTGCTCCTCTTACGTGCTACTGTCGCGATACGGCGTTACCATGGTTACAAATAACAGATATTGGATATAAAACATCCCAACTTCCTCGACAGTCCCATTATCCGCACACTGTCAACAGAGAGGAGCCGCTGGAGTCTCCGGACGCATCTGAGATCAGCTGCATCCAGGAAGGCGCACCACGCAGCGACCGTCCATGTGTTGCGCGCTCCAGGATACTTGACAAGAACATTTGCAAGCTACCTACCTGAAGATAAATCTCATTAGACTTTATTTTTGTTGTTGTTCATAGATTTGCAGTGTATTTTCCGGTAGCTATGCAGAATAAAGGCACATTTATCAGCCCTTTTCCCAGACCGCGCTGTCTGGCGGCGGCGGCGCCCGCGGGGAAAGCGAAATTAACTCACCCGGGAAAGGCGATTCTGGCAGGTAAGTTCATCATCGTTTGCCACGCGGAAAAGTAAACACAATGTCACTGGTTCCGGGAGTTTCGTTAAAGTCACGGCGGAATAAAATAGCATTTCATACATTTCTGATAAATGGTGTAATCTTCTTGTTTGTGGTGCGCAGCGGAGCAAAATAGGTGTAAAAAAAATAATAAAACCCTGGAAAGAATAAAAGACAAAACAGCAAACCATTAAAACAGCGTGTAGTAAGTCACACCTTAAGAGGAACTAAAGTCAATAAGTAAATAGCAGATAGACCACTGCAAACAGGATTATTACACCATAACAAACAAGGGCGTTTTTCTGTTAAATGACACGTTTCACTTCATTGAGCTGAAGGCTTGAAGTTAGTGGAGCTGCACAGAGAAAAGTGTGTGAGAGAGCTGCAGTAAAACGAGTTATTTTGCAACTGGTGTTACTACATTTTCCAACTGCTACATCTTGCCCTCAAGCCATCGTGACCCTGTGACCCTTGAAGCTGTTGTAAAAGAAAAAATGGCCTTGGGAGCAATTTTCTTCCTCTGTCCCCCTGTCCTCTCACGGTCAGATCTTACCTGCTGCACTGATGTAATTTTATCTAATCTAAACCTCTAGTGCAGCTCACATAATGCTATTAGAGTGGATTGGTGCATGCAGCATTGTAGGGGACTCAGGTGTGCTCTGGTGGTCAGAGAGGAGAAGAAATCATTTTCAGTGTTGAGCTTTTGGTTGATCATGTCAGGTGATCTTCAGCAGATGATTTTTGCTCAGTTGTCATGGAATTGTAGATGTCTGAATTTCCATTTTTTTCTGAGCACTTGAAGGACTTCTCGTCCAAAAGTGGGCAAAATCCATCTGCTGATGAAGGTCATGATATGTTAGGATAGTTCCTGAACCGCTTATGGAGTTTGTGGTGAGGTTGTTTTCCTAAACTTAAATGTTGTTCTGTCAGTTTGTGGTTCTTCTCTCTTTTACTGTAACTTTCACAATGCTTTATTCTCCTACTGTAACTGTAAACGTTGATCAATGTTGATTACATTTAGAAAAATGGGTTAAAAATATTGATATATTCCCACCATATACCAATAGGTAACCAGAGCCAATATATATCTTAGTGTGATCAGCAATCACCAAACCTACAAAATGATTTATTATGTCAGTCTGAAACAGGGAGGAAAAAATATTTGCCCTGAAGCTGTAACCATTTTGCTTGACAAATGAATAAAATGGTTAATCAATCGTCAACATTTTAACAAATCAGTTGATTGATGCTTCTGCACTACTTCAGTCATGCTTGTTTTAGCCATCTCTTTGATTCATCAGTTTCTCCCCGCTGAGGTTCAGAAGCTGTCCTCCTCTCCTGCTGCTCTGCCCCCCCCCTCAAAAATCCCCCTCGACCTCCTTGTGTGTTGATGATCAGGGTGCAGCAGCTCCAGCTGATGAAGAGCCTCTCAGAGATGCTCCTGTATTAAAGCTACGTGCTGATATTTGGCAGCACTCTGCTGATTTCAGCCTTGTTCTCTGGCAACGGTTGCATGCTGAATATTTTAGCGTTTTGAATGAATTCCTTTTGATTGAGGATTTTAAGCAAACTAATGATTATTTCAGTTATTTTACTGATTATTTAAGAATAATATTTAACGATGATTATATAACGATGAATCAAATTACTATAAAATTATTACATAGAACCTAATGTGACGTCTTCTAATTGCTTGTTTTAACCTGACCAATACTTCAAACTCAAAGTTCATTATCAAATATATGAAAAACATCACATATGAGAAGCTGTAACCAACAAATATGTGATCTTTTTAAATTACTCATTATTTCAGCTCCAAACTGCATACATGCTTATGGACTCATCTGAGTAATTACACTGTAGATATTTTGAAGCTGGTGTGCAAATGAATAGTAGGTTTATATATATCAACACTGCCCCTTTCAGTACAGATTTAGATTCACATTAGACCATGGCGTGGAGCACAGGCAACATATATCATCCAATAATGAGATAAAAAACACATTTACATACATAGCATTAATTTAAACATTGCTCGTGGTTTAAAGAGCACTTTTCTATCATTCTGTATTCTTAAATTCAAACAAAATGTGATGTCTCCTGAACAATTGACATTACAGAGTTTGCAGATTCTCTATAAGCCTGTATATCTACCTGTGGTTGGAGATTTTGTGTCATCTATTTCGAAAACAACTGTAGAGTTAATGATTTTGTGGCAGGAGGAGTGAGAAGAAGAGAAAATATATCCTCTCTTGACACACGTTGCCCTGTCAGCCACTGAGAAATGGAACTGGTGAGACCTCCCCCTCCCCCCATCAGTCCCGTGCAGCCTGATTGACTGGATATGGCCCAGTGTTGCTCCCTCTTCCTCTCGCTGTGTCGTTCAGCTCGTCTCAAGCCTGTCTGTCCAGTTTTGCAACAGCAGCATGATTACATTCTCTCTGTCCTAACTCTGTGCAGCTTCTGACTCCTCCTGGCCTCACTGTCAAAAAAACATTGATTTGTCGCTGTCAAAGGTTTTGGAAAGGAAAATGTGCATCAGTGTGTGTAGTGTGATGACAGTACACATTCAGAGCAACGCTGGGATGACTCAGCGAGTCATTTGAGTCTGACCTAAGATATTATCCATCAAAAACCACAGCTGATAGTTTACATCGTCAGGACGAAAAACCCTTCTCACTCAGCTACGGCAGTTCATGAATCCAGCTGATACCTCGCCTAGTGTGACATGTTAAACAATTATCTGTTATGGTTAGCAGTACGTGTACGTGGAGAGAGCGAGTCGCACATGCCCCAAAGGTTGAAAGTAGACAAAGCAAGAAGTAGAAGGTCAAAGCTTAATGGATTAGAGAGCCCAGTGGTTGGGGAGGAGGTCCAAAGCTTTTAGAGGTCTGTGAGCTCTTTCTGCTCCCATTGGCTAGTTCAAGTCTTCTCTCCACAGCCACTGGTGGTGACTGAAGTGGTAACACGGAAGGAGGGAGCGTTTTTCTGTGTGTGGCCTGAGGGAGAGACTGGTCTAAATGGGTCTCTGGTCCTGATATGCTGGCTGTTGTGCATTCATACATCGCTGTGGTTTTCATTTATAACCCATCTGGGCAGAGTCTGAGAAGCAGGCGGGATGGACAGAAAGAGAAAGTTCCTTTCTTAAATCTTTTTTATTATATTTATTTTATGATAGATTGGAATTTCCACTGAGACAGAGACTGTTTTTATGTCACTTTTCCTGCTCTTTTCCTCTCCTGTCTGTCTGTCTGTCTCTCTCTCTCTCTCTCTCTCCTGTCTGTCTCTCTCTCTCTCTCTCTCTCTCTCCCCAGCCTCAGGGCTGCCAGTTAGGTTTTCTGAGTGGCTGTCTCCTCTCAGGCTCAGAGGACTCGTCAAACTGTACGCTTACTCCCTGTTTCCTCGCGTCACAGGTGACGCACAGTCACCTCCCTCCCCACTGCTTGCAGACCCCGAGTACTGGGGGGCGAGATCATAAATCACAGTGCGCTCCTTTGTCCACCTCCCAGCCACCCCCTCTGTAATAGCTTGTCAGCTAGATGTTGGTATAGTGCAGTCACGGACATGCAAACAGAAATTAGTGCAGTTATTTAAATACATTATTAATTCTCATTAATTAGAAGTCATATATGCTGAACATTTCCTTTCTTAAACCTTACCTTTGAGATTGAGTTCCTGCCTTCCAGTCAGCCACTGGTTGTAATTAATTACAATATTGTGGAGACCTTGCAGAAACTTGGAACTTGTTTGAGAAAAATGATCAGAGTAGTCGCTATAATTTTTTGTCATAGTTATATAATAACAGCAGGGTTATTCATTTTCAAGTAATTACCTTGTTGGGCTCAACAACATTATGTCTTAGACTTGAAAGATTGTTGGTCTCAATCAGCTTCTTAATATGAAATACCACCAGCTGCTAGCTTGCTTTTGTCTGTCTGTCTGCCATTTGGTGCCGGGATGGTTATTAGAGCTTTTTCACAGCTGCCTTCTGCATCTGGAAAGTCGGCTGAAGAAAGCAGTGAAACTTATCCTAAACAGTAAAGTTGTTAAAACCAAAGTAATGAGTGGAAAGATGCTAAAACACTCAGTAGAGGGGAAGTAACAGTAACAATACAGATTAGTGCTTAATAGAGATTGAATCTTAAATGTCAGAGCTTCCTTGAATGCACCAAAAAAAGAAGAGTTTTCAAATGCTCATAACTGCATGAAGATGTAGTAACATGGGTTACCAGCTCATTTAAAATGTCTGCAAGTTGATTTTGATACTTAAAATGGACTTAAGCCAATGGCATTGATCAATCAACAAATTATGTAAGTAATGTAATGTTTATGTATCTAAATTTAAAACATGCAAAGCCACTGGTTTTATTCTTCATCTGCAAAGTGCCTGGCAGCCTTGTCTACAACTGTACACTCAGTAACGACAACCTGTGCGTAGTTGTCCTGTTCATGTAAATCAGTGTACAATCTGCATGCTGCAGGGTTGTCACAGTTCCCATGTAAAATTAATCAACATCCTTCCTGTAATTAAGCATCAGTGTAGCATTAGGGAATGTTTCTCAGGACTGAGGAAGCCTAAAAGGCCAGACGTCAGATAAATAATTCTTTTCATGTTTTGCGTGAGGAAAATAGAAATATTACAGCTCTATTAATAAGAGAACTGTTTGAAGTGCATCAGTCCTCTGGCTATGTTCTCCATTTGGACTGGAGGTATGGACACAATAACATCGTACCCTTTTACTCCAGAGAATTTAAAGTGAGCGATTATAATCTAAATAAGGAACATCTGGATGAATAATAGATTGATTCTGCTGCAAAACTTGCTTATTAATTTGCTGGTCGGTGCACAAACACATGTCGATACACTTTATTGACTGTTTTCGGCGAGTTTGTCTGAACTGAGCTTAGTCGAAAATGGAATTAAAAAGAATCTTAGTTTTAGGTTTTACTGCAATAGTACTTTAAACAATCCACACCTACTCAAAAATGTTTATTTTGAAGGAAATGGAGTTCAAATATGTTTAGAAGCTGCCATGATCAGAGACCATGCCGGACTGTCAGTTCTTCCTAGGAAGAAATACGTTTCACAGTAGACCAGATGTGTTTGATGCTCATTACAGTCACTGAAACAGGCAGAGACTGTTCCTCCCTGTCAGCTGGCTGTCTGCCTGCTCACCTGGCTTCCTCTGTGCCGCTCTGTGCTGTGGATTTCTGTTTGTGTGCATCATGACTGTGTTTCTGTGTGTGTGTTATCGAAATATACACAATATGTTCAAAAATATGTGGAGCTGAAATTATTACTGATTAATTGATATCGACCAACAACTACTTGTTTAAGTAATTTTTACACTACCTAGTTCCAGCTGCTCATTTGTGAGGATTTGCAGCTTTTCTTTGTCTTATGTGACAGTAAACTGAATATCTGGGAGTTTTTGACTGTGGCGAAGGTGGCAATGTCAGTCTATTGTTGCAACGTACTGCTGCCATGACAGAAAAAGAACAACTGATCAGTATCACATTATAACAAGAAACCTTTATTGATATAACAATATAATTATTTATCTTGTTATGACATCTGAAATATCTACTATTTGATGGATTGCAGTATAACATGCAGACATTTGTGGTCCCCAGAGGATGGTCCGGCTTACTTTGGCAATCCTCAGATTTTTCCACTAGTCCCACCAGCAGGTTGACATTTTAGTTTTTTAGTGAAATGTCTCAACAATTGTTGGATGCATTGCCACGAAAGTTGGTAAAAACTTTATTAGAGCTCTGACCTCTACACCATCAAACAGCTTTGGAGTCAATCCGACTGTGAACCAGGCCGTATCGCCCAACATCAGTGGCCTTCAGTGGCCATCAGTGGTCACTCTTGTGGCTGAATGGGAACAAATCCAGGTTCATCAGGCCCAAGATGTGAAGTATGCTGATTAATATATACATTTTCATTGCCTGAACACAGTGTTACCTTTAAACAGTACATCATTGTCTGTGTCTAATTTATTAAAGTGCTGCTTATATTGTGGAAATTTCAAGTCTCTAAGAGTCTGTAGAAGCAGTTTTGAATCTGCCATTACCTTTTTTTCATCGCTTTTGGGGTTGGGATATCAATCCACTGCCATTTCCATTTCTTTTCGTGTAAACGTAAGTGTCAAAGATCTATGTGGATGCATTGATTTTATGACACAGTGTGGAGAAGAGTAGCCAGGGGATGAGGAGAGAGGAAGGAAGGTGTTGCTGAGAGAAAAATTACCAACAGGAGAGGCGAGCGAGCCTGTGAAGATCAAGATTAATGGCCATTTTTCTCATGTATCCCACGTTTGACAGCTACACAGGAGTCATTTAGGGTGTCATTTTTAAATGTGTGTGTAAAATATGTGTGTGCTTTGGATGTAGGCTGCAAAATGGAGTAGAAGTCAAACAAACTGCTTCTCCTCCACGCGTGTGTCTGATGAGGATTGATCATGTGTGCTGTGTGTGTGTGTGTGTTTGTTGCTGAGTCGCCGCTGGTTGGGTTTCACGTGCAGTACTGTCTTGGCTGAAAACAGAAGAATGAGGTTTATTGTTTCTTCTTTTCCAAGACACACTGACCCACTGATCCCGGATCAGGACGGCTGAAATGGAGCGTTATAAAGCTCATGTGATTTCTGTTATTTCTCAGCTGGCTAACATTTGCAAACCACTCCATGAGGATTAGAAGAATTACAGACCACTGGCCTGGTGTGTGTGTGTGTGTGTGTACTTAATGGTGCTCTCAGGTTTTATGGATTGTGCTGATTGGGTGAATTCAGGTACGATCAATGACGAATGGCATGCAGATAATCAGTCATCACAGGTTTATATCAATGCTGATGTGCCGATATTAACCGAAATACTGGAAATCGCAAGGTAAAAAATCTAAATTATGAATCACAATGAGTTAAATAAATGGCTCTATAAGGTTTAGGTAGACCAATAAAATATTATCATTTTCAGAAATTATTTTACTTGTATGAATCACAATTTTGTCGCAGTAGTCATATGAAGACACAATAAATGAGGACATTTGATAAATGTGCAGCCTTAAGTAAAAGCCATTTTCCTGTATTGATTTACCTTATTAAATTAGCCCACTCACAGAAGAGGAGATGTAGATAAAGAGATGAGTCAGAGGCTTTTTAGGGTATTTAGTTTGCCTTGCGATGCCCTCTACTTATAGTCCTAAAATGTGTGCCCTGGGTTAAATATATGCTTTTATCTTAAGTAGAGGCTCTGCTTCTAGGTTCCACTGTAATAAAGGTCATGTTGGCAGCATGTGAGGAGTGGCAGAGCTAAATAACACGTATGCATGTTTGTAGGTGAAACATTGCTTCACTGGGGCCGTGTGGAAATTAGCCAGAATACACTGAGAAAAATAAACCACAGCAGTACTGAGAGACAGTCTCATATTCAACATTCAAGACTTAATTTTCTTAAAACAAGGGAAATTCTGCCAGTGTCCTGAATTTTCTAGAAATTACTCATCATCTTAAAACGATCATTTATATTATAATCATGTATAATGAAAATGACATAGAAAATAGATATTAGTCCTCAATAATTGACGAAACATGTAGTGATAGTATCACAGGTGACAGTGAATGCCCCACAGATCTAACACTGAGAAACAATGGGATTAAAGCAGCACATAGACGGCACCAATTTTCAAGTGGATTGTCAAAATTTTCTACATATAAATAATATAAATAATGGGAAGGATGCTTTAATCACAGAAATATTCTACATATCAGGTCTTTAAGATGGTTATTCTTACATTCTAGGTAGCGCATGGGAAGTATTTTTCTTTATAAAAGCTCTTCAAGTTATTCTCCCTTGCAAATATTAACATTTGATCACAACTGGTAATTCTCAGAAAAAGAAAATCACAACAACTTCCTGTTGAAACCATTTCTCTGTGAGCCAGATTTAGACTTTTCATGTGAAAGAAAAAGGCCAGACATTTCAGTTTTCTACTTCCCATTGTTTGGTTCATTGTGGTCTTGTGGTAAATTGCTTCAGGTTTCCTGACTTGTCACAAATATACATCATGTTCAGTAAAATGTTCCTCATAATTACCCACAAGAATTATTTTAGGTTGGGAATTTCTTCTTTCTCGTTCGTTGCAGGGCACATCTGCATGTTTCTCTGTAACCTCATTGTGTGTGTGTGTGTG